AGGGTTATGGAGGCAGAAAGAAGGGGTGTTGGCTTCAGATTCTACTGGGAAGCAGAGCTCCCTTCTGTGCCAAAGCGAGGCTGCTTGTCTGAGGGGCTATCTCTCTAATTCTTATTCCCTTAGAACTTCTTGGACTGGTGGAACCATATCGGTTCTTCAGTAAACAGCTGTTTATCTTGACCATGCAGAGTGTCTTTTGTCAAAAATCTGTCCCTCTAGTTTCTCTTAAGGAGAATGTAACTAAACGGAATCTGCCAGGGCCTCAGTTTGGTAGCTTTTCTGGCAAGCTCTGCACAGCTGCAGATCCTTGGGCAGAGCCCATGTGAAAGATGCCATGGCCTTGGGAAGGCTGGGAGGTGTGGCTTCTCACTGGGAACCACGTGAACTGGATTCTCGGAGAGTCTGGGAAGTTGGAGCTTGTGGTCACAAGGGAGGGACTCTTAAGAGGTCCTTATCTCCTGGCTGTAGGGAGGTAGGAAGGAGAGAGAAAACTAGCTGCAAGGAAGGAAGCAAGCAAGGGTAGAGAGAAGGGAAGGAAAGAAAGAAGGATGGACAGACCCACAAAAGGACCTTACTTCCCTTTGAACCTGGAAAATGCATGTTCTCTCTGAAACTATGGAAGAAAAATACTAAGCCCTGGAATATTCATGCTGAAGCCATTGGTAGCTAATTTTCTGCCTTGAATGAGCTTCAACCATAGAAGACGTACACTCTTTGGTGAAGGACTTGGTAAAGATTCACACTGTTTTTCAGCCTCCTTTTCTGTTTGTTGGGCTTTTTGTTGCACATTGATCAGCGCCAAGGATGGTGGGAGGACAGCCACACACCATGTGAAAGATCTGTTTCCCTAGCATCGTCCAGTATTCACAGGAGATCCTTTCTCTGATTATGTGTTTTCTAGACAAGGCTCTCTAGGAAAACCTAGAGTTTCATTATGGAGCAACTCAGAACCTGTGTGTGTGTGTGTGTGTGTGTGTACACGTGCAGATGTCACCTGTATTAATCGTTGACCAACCATCAAGTATGAATCTTACTTTCCAATAAATATTTGGATTCTGCACAGGAAGTTCTCTTTTTTTCTGGAATGGGGAGGTCTTAAATGATGCCGTGTTGATCCTGGTCAATCACACCTCATTCCTCCTGACTCTAGAAAAGAGTGAGGAGATGTCATTGAATTTGTTCTTCCCTTGCAGGGGGCACATGTTTTAAAGGGAAGAGAACCGGGTTGGAAATCAGGAGCCTCCAGTCAGGCTCTGCCCTGAACTAGCTGAGAAAATGTGGGTTTCACTTTCCTTGTCTATAAAAGAAGGGAATTTGAAAAGTTGACATCAATTGGCCCATCTTATTCTAAATTACATAACTGCATTATTCAAATATATTATGTAACTATATTAGCTAAACTGAACTGTGGTGACATAAATTAATGGTAGACTGTATATAATGGAAGACATTAGAAATGTATGTTCCACTGGTCCTCAGAATTAGTCACTGGACAACTTAAAACTATTATGAAACTCCCAGAGAGTGATGGCTAGATGCATGTTTTATTTAGAGTGTACATGTACAGTGACATCTCTTCTTTGCCCTTGAATTCAGATTTTCTTCTCAAATCATACATATTTCCATTAAATTTTATTCAGGACAATCTATACATTTATTTTATCTCAGACATTTACTACTCTTCCCAAAACCCATTTGGTTAGATAATATTTTCATGACTTACAGGATGCATTTCTCATTTCTGTTTGTGATGGTAACAGTAATTCAGATATCATTAGAATTGTTCAAGGCGATTTTTTAAAAAATTTGGCCATGCCACACGGCTTGTGGGATTTCAGTTCCCCAACCAGGGACTGAACCCGGGCCACGGCAGTGAAAGTGCTGAGTCCTAACCACTATACCACCAGGGAACTCCCTAAGGCGATTTTCTTAAAAGTAAATATAAGTAACAATGGAATTTATTGTCCCAAAGTACTGTCACAAGGGGTAACACTTGTATTTTGACTATAGGATGTGAAGTGGGATATACTCGTGTAAGAATGTTACTCATTAAATAAAAAGAATGATTATACATTTAAGTATCCAGGAATTTTAAATCAAGACCATATGTGTGTACATTGTATAGCTTTAAGAACAGAGATACATCGATTCTTGTGTACCCAGCACCTAAAAAAGATATAGAACATGACAAATACCCAAGAAGCTCCCACTTGCCATCTCAAGTCTCATTCCCTACA